AAAAAAAAAAAAAAAAAGGGAAAACAATAAGACATATTCATTGGGAATCTGGACTGCCATATGCTGTTGTAATTGTTGAAGTAAAAATTTATTAAAATTCAATAAGTCATATAGTAATTTTTTTCGGGGGGGAGAGGGGTCCGGTCATGGGGCTTGAACTCTGGGCCTGGGCGCTATCTCTCAGCTCTTCAGCTCAAGGCTAGCGCTCTACCACTTCAGCCACAGCGCCACTTCCGGCTTTTTTCTTTTTGCTTATGTTGTGCTGAGGAATCGAACCCAGGGCCTCATGCATGCAAGGCAAGCGCTCTACAACTGAGCCACCTTCCCAGCCCCATATAATAATTTTAATATACTTTAAAATGAGTAAAGAAAAAATACTCACTTGTAAATACCACTACCAAGATGATTGCCAGATCAATGAAGAGGAACTGGAAATCTCCTAGGTTACTTAAAATCTACAAGATAATTTTAAGACATAATTACTTTTCAGAAACTATTTTTATAGCATTATTCCCAGGTTGTAGACTGGTTTTTCCCCAATAATGACAACTTCAAAAATGATACCTGAATTTGCTTAAAACACACGGGCTGGAGGCATGAATGGCAAATAACAAGAGCATATGTCTAGCATGTGCAAGGTCTCATGTTCAATTTTGAGTATAGTCAATAAAAAGAAAAGAAAAACTGAAATACATTTGCCTTTGAAACTAATCAGAACATACATTTCAAACATCTGACTAAAGATATGAGTTCTATCTCCTTAAAATTCATAAACTTTTGAACTAATAAAAAAAGCAAACATAAGCTTTTACTCAAGATATGCAACATTTTTGAATATATTGATGTTTCCTTCTGGTATTTTCTTTTTTTTTTCTTTTCCTTTCTTTTGGTCATGGAGCTTGAACTCAGGAACTCAGGGCCTGAGTGCTGTTACTGAGCTCCTTTGCTCAAGGCTAGCACTCTACCACTTTGCACCATAGCTCCACTTCTGGGTTTTGGGTGATTAATTGGAGGTTAAGAGTCTCACAGGGACTTTTCTGCCCAAGCTGGCTTTAAACCACGATTCTAAGATCTGAACAGCTAGAATTACAAGTGTGAGCCACGAGTGCCCAAGCCTTCTGATATACATGAGGAAAAGAGAGAGTTCTCAGAATTCTTTGGCTGTCACTGATAAACATTATCAGGAAAAAAATGTACAGTAAGATCCCTATAAATATAAATTTTGATAGAGTAAATGTAAATTCTAATAAGAGTACCTATGGATAAGCTCTGTTTATGCTGTTTCTTCAAATGCATAGTTCTACAAACTATTGCTGAAACTTAATTTCTCATTGTCCCCATTCCTTATGAATGTAAAGAAAAGTTAGCAATGATTCTAAGTTCTCCTGACTAACATTTGGAAGACTATTAAAGAAAGAAGTCCAATCGGTTACTCAAACTATAGTAATCTCAAAATAAATCTAAAAGACACTACTTTAAATAATTCAATATGAATGGATGCATTCTATATCAAACATATATGCTCAGTACCTTAAGTGTCTTAATATTAAATGCCAGCTCTATGTACAAATTAACACTTACAGAATACAGGAGAGTAACACTGAAGTACTGTATGATGCTGTACAATGCCATAAACTTAAACACACAGAAGGAAGTCATTAAAGCAGCACGACCTTCCCTGTGAAAAACAAATGTTGACATGTAAATAAAAGCACTTTAAACCCCTCCCATAAACAGTCCTATCTTGACAGGTAATTATCCACATTCAACAGCTACAACAAAATGCTTATCAAAAGAACTACCCTCAGTCCACACAGGCGGCTCACACCTGTAATCCTTTTACTCAGAAGGCTAAGATTTGAGGATCGCATTTCGAAGCCAGACTGGGCAGAAAAGTCCCTGTGAGACTCCTATCTTCAACTAACCACTCAAAAACCAGAAGTGGCACTGTGGCTCAAGTGGTAGAGCACTAGCCTTGAGTACAAAGCGGCCCAGGGACAGTGAGTACCCAGACCCTGAGTTCAAGCTGCACAACTGACAAAAACAAACAAAACACTATCCTCAAGGAGAATTGGAAGAAATGAAAAATTACTAATAAGCTAATAAGTTAGTTTAAATTGTACTATTCAACACACAAAGCAAATTTTCCCTTCCATATTGTTAGTGCAAGATACAAGGAAACAATGAGAAAAATTCCAACTTGTACTACCTGATAAGGTTTGGCACACAGGAAATGCTAGGAGTTTTAGAGGTAAAAGGAGATGCCACTGAAGCCTCAAGTTCAGATAAGGAAATGCCTCCATGTGCTCTCTTCAAGGCCTAATGATGTCAAGAAAACTGGTTTAAGTTTTATGAATGTCCCTTAGACTAATGTAAAAACCACAAAAGTAAATCACAAAATCTATACTTACGCCACAATCATTTGCACCATCACCACACATCCCAACAAAGTAACTAAAAAAACAAAACAATTGTGAGATTTTACTTTATTTCTCTCCTCTCCTCCCTTCTTTTTTGCTTGGACTCCATTAATTAAAGCAATGTCATGTTTTCAAAATTGTCAAGAAAGAAAAGTGTAACCGCGCACCACTGACTCCAGCTATAAACAGTGTTAGTAATCACAACATAAATTCTGAATATGGGTTAAGCATCTTTTAAAACATACAAATAACCCTACTAAGATTTCTCAATATAGTATAAAGAAAAAAAAACGTTCATTGCGTGGAACTAATTAATATTTTCATTATAATGATCACAGGCAGGGGCTGGGAAGGTGGCTCAGTGGTAGAGTGCTTGCCTTGCATGCCTGAGGCCCTGGGTTCGATTCCTCAGCACCACATAAGCAGAAAAAAGCCAGAAGTGGTGCTGTGGCTCAAGTGGTAGAGCACTAGCCTTGAGCTGAAGAGCTTGGGGACAGTGCTCAAGCCCAGAGTTCAGGCCCTACGACCGGACCCCCCCCCAAAAAAAAAAACCCCAGGAAAGTACACAAGATTCATTCCCAACCAATATCTCAGCTTCTTAGGAACCTTAAACAGGAGGATTACAGTCCAGGACAAACTAGACATAAATGCAAGGCCCTATTTGAAAAATAACTAGTCAGGTGCTGGGGGTTTACACCTGTAATTCTAGCTACTCAGAAGGCTGAGATCCAAGACTTAAGAGTTTGAGGCCAGAGTCTCCATCTCCAAAATAAACAGCAAAAGCCATTTAGAAGTATCATTCAAGAGGTAAACTGTCAGCCTAGCAAAACCCTAAATTCACATACTAGACTTTACAAAAGAGCAAAAATAAAAGAAAACTAGCTGGAGCCAGTACTCATGCCTGTATCCTAGCTACTTAGGAGGCTGAGTTATGAGGATCGATGTTTGAAGCCAGCCCAGGCAGGAAAGTCTGTGAGACTCTTATCTCCAATTAACTACCAAAAGCTGAAAGTGGAGTTGTTCCTTGAAAGGAAGCTCAAGCCCCATGCTCAGCCCACACGTGCATGCACACACATTCATGCATGTAGACACAGGCACGCGCACAAACACAAACACACACACACACACACACACACACGTGCCCACGCACGCGAGTAGTTGATCACAAAGTTCTGAATTATAAATCCAGAATGGCAAAAAAGAAAAACTAAAATATCTTGAAACACAACTTCTTATAAAAATTAAAGACATGCCTGGGGCTTGTGGCTCATACCTGTAATCCTAACTACTCAGGATGCCATCTGAGGATCATGGTTCAAAGCCAGCCCAAACAGGAAAGCCCATGAGACTCTTATCTCCAATTCATCAAAAGAGCCAGAAGTGGAGCTGTGGCTCCCGTGGTAGGTGCTATCCTTGAGCAAAAAAGTTCAAGGACAGCACCCTGACTCAAAGTTCAAGCCCCAGGAGCAGCACTAAAGAAATAAAGCCAAGGCTGGGAAGGAGGCTCAGTGGTAGAGCGCTTGCCTTGCATGCTCAAGGCCCTGGGTTCGATTCCTCAGCACCACATAAGCAAAAAGAAAAAAGCCAGAGGTGGCGCTGTGGCTCAAGTGGTAGAGTGCTAGCCTTGAGCTAAAGAGCTGAGGGACAGCGCCCAGGCCCAGAGTTCAGGCCCCACGACCGGACCCCAAAAAAAAAAAAAACCAACAAAGAATGTACACATTTTCTTGCCCATGTAATTGTAACTCCTCTGTACAGTAATCTCACAATTAAAAAAAAAAGCATTTTTTTTCACTTTAGCTAAATAAGTGAGCACATGAAAGCAGCACTGGAAGTTCATATGTACATACATATGCACATTCATATGCACACAGGTTGGCCATCTCTCATCTGAAAATGAAATTATAATAGAAAAACAAAAACACAAAGCCATCAATACTTACTCTACATTTTGCAATGCTTCTACCAGCTGTGTCTTCTGATCAGGTGCCATACGAGCAAACACAGTACCATGCAACATCAACTAGGGGGAAAAAAAGTCCTTTAAAAATTGTATTCCTAGTGGCAAAGTGTTTGCCTAATCAAGTGCAACATCCTAGGTTCAATCTCCAGTATGAAAAAAGAAAAGGAAAATAGAAAAAGAAAAAACTGTATCCTCACCAAGTGCCAGAGGCTCACGCCTATAATCCTAGCTACTCAGGAGACTGATATCTGAGGATCATGGTTCAAAGGCAGCATGGGCAGAAAAGTCCATGAGGTTCTTATCTCTAATTAATTATCAAAAAGCCAGAAGTGAAGCTGTAGCTCAAGTAGTAGAGTACTAGCCTTGAGCAAAAAAGCTCTGAGACTGCACATAGATCCTAAATTCAATCTATGGGCTGGGAAGGTGGCTCAGTGGTAGAGCGCTTGCCTTGAATGCATGAGGCCCTGGGTTCGATTCCTCAGCACCACATAAGCAAAAAGAAAAAAAGCCGAAAGTGGCACTGTGGCTCAAGTAGTAGAGCGCTAGCCTTGAGCTGAAGAACTGAGGGACAGCACCCAGGCCCAGAGTTCAGGCCCCACAACCGGACCCAAAAAAAAAAACGTAAATTCAATCTCCAAGACCAGCACCCCCCCAAAAAAATATACATATTATTCTCAACATATCATGAATATATTTATAAATTTATATCACTTACTTTAGGAACGAGGTCTTGAAAATGCTCCAGTATCACTGAAAATGATTTTCCATTCATTGCAAAATGATAAGGAGTAATCTGAAGATCTTCTAAGCTATCATGGACCAATTTAATTGGAATATCCTGTGTGTGACATTCACAATAATATTTAGGTACTCAAGCCAAGTAAAACAATCCTATGTTAAGTATATTTGTTCCCAAATGGAACTGTATCATTTAATACTGTTTATTTTCTACAAAGCAGTAAAAGCTTGATATTTATTTTTTTTAAAAAGGATAATTATTTTGAGGTTACCTGTAAGGTTTGTTGAAAAACTAGTTAAGAAAAATTAAATATCAGCTTTAATTTTAAATACTCTACGAACTGAACACTATTTATAACTTGAAAATATGGGATATTTGGGATTCTTCTACTTTAAAACTATGAACCAGGGCTGGGAAGGTGGGTCAGTGGTAGAGTGCTTGCCTTGCATGCATAAGGCCCTGGATTCAATTCCTCAACACCACATAAGCAGAAAAGGCCAGAAGTGGCGCTGTGGCTCAAGTGGTAGAGCGCTAGCCTTGAGCTGAAGAGCTGAGGGACAGCGCCCAGGCCCAGAGTTCAGGCCCCACAACCAGCAAAATGAAAAACAAAAAAAAACTATGGATATGGATCTCAAGATTGGGGGCATGACTCATGAGTAGAGAAAAGCCAAGCGCACGCGCACACACACGCACGCACACACACACACACACACACACACACACACACACACACACACACACGAAAAACAAAAACCAAAGTAAAACAAACAACAACAACAAAAAACATGCCTCTCAATTTTTTTTTTCTGTTAGTTGTGGGGGCTTACACTCTGGGCTTGGGTGCTGTCCCTCAGCTCTTCAGCTCAAGTCTAGTACTCTACCACTTGAGCCATAGCGCCACTTCCGGATTTCTGAGTGGTTAGCTTTGAGCCCTGATCCTCAGATCTCAGCTTCCTGGGTAGCTAGGATTTCGGGTGTGAGTCACCGGCACCCGTATAGCTCTCAAATTTTAAAGGGATTTTTTGAGTCCACCAAGTCCTAATGAAATCAATCTCTCTGGGGAGACAGTCCACACTTCTGTTTGCCATTAGTTTCTGTTTCACTGTTTTAATGTACCACTTTTAGGGCTTTATTTATTTATTTTTTATCCACACTGAAACTCAAATAAGCAAACTTCCAAAAAAGAAAATGAATCTTAACATTACCTCTGAGCCAACTGCTGTTGAATTACTGCACTGTGTTAGGGAGTCCGCATAATGCCAATTTATCTTAGCAACCTTCCCATCCTTTGGAGGTAATGCTTCAGCAATAATAACTTTATCCTGAGGTAGAATCATTCCACAGTCTCTGGCCACAGAGACAGCAGTCAACATGTTGTCACCTAATTTTCAAAATATTTTAGATACTAAAATCAAAATGGAGATAAACAAGCATTTACTGAAAATCTAGTCTAGTTCATATGAATATACTGGACATAATAAAGATAGAATATGACCTTTACCCTTGAGTTTTAAAATAATGAATCAATTAAGGCATACTTGTTAAAAAGGAAGCCTCAAATAATGTAAGCACATATGCTAAATAATCAGAAAATTTAAGCCCTTAACCGTTTGTTTTGTTTTGGGGAGGGGGTAGGTCCAGTTGTGGGGCCTGAACTCTGGTGCTGTCCCTTAGCTCTTCAGCTCAAGGCTAGCACTCTACCACCTGAGCCACAGCGCCACTTCCAGCTTTTTTTCTTTTTTGCTTATGTGGTGCTGAGGAATCGAACCCAGGGCCTCAAGCTGCAAGGCAAGCGCTCTACCATTGAGCCACCTTCCCAGCCCAACCTTTCATTCTTGTTCTTTTTTTAAGGAAAGGTTTTACTTTGTAGTGCAAATTGGTCTTGAATACACCATGTATCTGACGCTGGCCTTGAATTTATGATATACCTATCTGGCTTCCCAAGTGCTGAGATTACAGAAGTGTGCTATCACACTTGGCTCATAAGCACAACTTTTAAACACAGTAATTTTCAGACATGTGTTTCATTAACAAATGGCACATTGAGACATATAGACCTATAAACATTTGCTGAAATAACTTAGGAGTGAGTAACTGGTAGTCTGTATAAGAAAAGAAACACTAGCAGAGTACAACAGGAAAGGATGGATCACAAAAGCAAGACTACACACAAACTAAAAGTTAAGATAATTAAGAACAGATGTAATCAGAAATGTGAGACAATTTCTCAATCAAGAGAAGGAAAGAACTGATCAGAAACAAGAACAGAAATAGGCAAAGAGAGGTAAGATATTTCTTTCACTATTTCCATATTCTCTCTCCCCAATGCATTTTCCTGTGACCCATGAGACTGTCATGTTGTCGCAGCAAAAGAGAAAAAAGAGGAAATATAGATGCAAAGTACCTAAAGAAGAATAGAGAAGAGTTTCTAATGATAATACATTTGTGACTTTGAGGTAACTAGTAACAAGTATGCTATTAGATAAATCTCAAAGTCTAACACAAAAATATATGTATGCCGGCTATTCTCATAAGTATATAATACATAAATACAATTAAGGGAATAATTTAAAACTAACTATAGGAAGCCAGGTACTGGTGGCTCAAGCCTATAATACTAGCCACTCAGGAAGCTAAGATCTGAGGACTGAAATTCAAAGCCAGACCAGGCAGGAATGTCTGACTCTTATCTCTAATTAACCACCAGAAAACCAGAAGTGGCACTGTGGCTCCAGTGATAAGAGTGCTTGCCTTGAGCTGAAGAGCTCAGGGACAGAGCCTAGCCTAGAGTTCAAGCCCCACAATTGACAAAAACAAACAAAATAACAACAAAAAACCCTATCAGGATTATCTAATATTAACAAAATAAAAACACCAAGGGGAATCATTCAGATGTACTAGTTGGGCACTGGTGGCTCACACCTGTAATCCTATCTACTCAAGAAGCTAAAATCTGAGGATTGCAGTTCAAGCCAGCCAAGGCAGAAAAGTTCTTTGAGACTCTTACCTCCAATTAACCATCCCCAAATCAGAAGTAGAACTGTGGCTCAAAGTGGTAGAACATAATGAAAGCTCGGGGACAACGCCTAATGCCTTCAAGCTCCATGACCGACAACAAATAAAAACTCCCCTCCTCCCAAAAGGTTATTTTCATTAGTAACTCAAACTAAGAATACACTCTCTCTCTTTCTCTCTAAATTCCAGTAATCTAGTCTATATACCTATCAATTCTAAAAAGTTACAAATGACTCTAAAATGAGTAAAACATGTTCTTAATCCTCAAATTCTGTATTCTAGCACAGAAAACATTGTAAGTAATTAACACAAGGCAAGGTATACCAAGTGCTGTTAAGAACTAAATGATTAAAGCCGTTGCCAATGGCTCACGCCTATAATCCTAGCTACTCAGGAGGCTGAAATATGAGAATTGCAGTTTGAAGACATATCTGTGAAACTCTAACCTCTAACCAGCAAAAAGCTACAACTGGAGGCATAGCTTAGATGGTAGAGCACTACTGGTGATGGAAAAAGTTCAAGCCCCAATACTAACAAAAAACAAAGGAAAGGAAGGGAATGATTAAAAAGATAAGAGAAAGGAACACCAAATTAAACTTTTTATAGTGTTTCTTTAACTATTTTACTATAGTTTTTATAAATACAATTTGTTAAACCTCAAAAAGAATACTGCAAGATTATCTGATACTTTGGGAAAATATGTGTGAACAGGATGTGAGATGGAACTATTGTTCTGCAACTAACAGATCATTCTCTCAATATTATGTAACTTGAATTCTATAGTCATGCTCATTTTTTTTTCTGTGTTCTTTCATAATCTAACCTGTGACCATGACAGTGCGAATGTTGGCTTTATGCAAATCTTCAAGTACTGCAGGGGTTTCTTGCTTTAATTTGTTCTGCATTATAATTAATCCCATAAAATCCATGTTGTTTTCAATGGTATCTCTGCAGAAAAAAAAGTTTTAACACATAATGGTTTAGTCTAGAGAACAGGTATTGTTCTCTTAATATTGACAAAACATTTTAAAATATCTATAAATTAAAAAGTGAAACACTTGATATGCTGAATCAACCATGTATGCATTTACAAGTTCAGTATCCCCAAAAATTTAAATTTGGAAAAATAATACCAAGAAATGTATTTTTGATATACTAAAACTCTGCTCTTTGAAACACAAAATACAAAGACCATTTGGAAACATGTAAAACACTAAACAATTTTAAACTGTATGTAAAACATTAAATAATTTAAGCACTAAGGAATATTCATTTTACAGTCTATGGAAAAAAAATTCCTAAGCATAAATCTGTTCTTTATTATCCTTCATAAAATATACCCCAATTAAAGTATTAAATACTTATAATGGATTCATTATCAAGTCTTGATCAATGCCATTAGCAGTATATCAATCAGATCTATTCAGGACCCAGAGATGTTTGCTTAGAATACTAACAATCAACATATTTATCAAGATGCACCAGCCTGTGTATATACACTACTCCAGGAAGTCTACTTTCAAGGTTCTTGTGAGGAAACAGACCTGTGATAAAAGAGATGCATGTAAAAATACTATGTACTTCACCACTACAATGGAGATGAAGTCGGTTCAGTGAGTCATAACCTTAAGAAATATTAAGCTGCCAAAATTATACCATAGAATTTTTTTTCATTTTGGAAAGGAAGCCTGAAGTTAGGAACTAGAACTGGGAGACAGAATAACTAAGTGATTGATCTACATAAATATTCAACAATAAAGGTGCTTGAGTACATGAGACCTAAAATCTTTAAAATATGTAACTTACAACAATGTATTATAAAGAGTTTTAAAAGTACAATCCTGATGACAGAAGAAAAACCCTCAAATATGAAACTGTCTTCACAGCACAAACTTGTATCAATGTGAAACTTCTAGGTCAAGAGCACTGGACCATTTTTCTATGGGACTCTGGTTTCTAGCTTCCATTTGTTTCTTTCTAAATTATGAAGTGTACAATATTCAAGATATAAAGGTTTAAGCTACAAGATAATACTAAAATTTACTCCTACAAGGTAGAAACAGAAAAGGACTTGGTAGGTGAAAGAAGAGGAAGAAAGAGAATAGAAAGGTCATAAGAAAAGAGTATTTGCTTTGGGCAGAAGGAACAACTTATTCAAGGGCACAAAAGGTTGTCTGAATATGACAGGTCAAGAATTAAAAGCAGTGTTGTTCAACGGTCTCTAAGGGAAAATGGCAAAACATGAAGCTATAAAGAGAGACTAATGTGTACCCTTTGTAGGAAATGGTATTACATATCTATGGTTCCTAACTAGGTGTCTATATCAGTTAACTAGGTAGAGGTTTTTAGAATTCTATAGGCAGAATTGTTAGTGAGACAAGGGATATTTTATACTTTTATTAGAGATATCATACAATATTCCTAAACAAAAACACTCTCCTCAAAGAGTAGGTATAAATTAGTTACAGTAAAAGTTACCATCCTTGAATACATTTAACACATGAGAAGAAAGGTAACATCCATATTTTCATTTGGCAGGGGGTAAATGGCAAGGGACAGAGGGAGAGAATACTGGGTACTATGATACCATAGGCACTCATGATAGTGATCAAATTAGTATTTGGATCAAACCACTGATAAGGGCAACCTGATGTGAGACAAACTGCGGAATTGTTTACTTTTCTAAGAACATACCTGATACACAGTAAGCTCTAGATAAATATTTAACAAACTGAAAGCAGTTTCAATGTGTAGTCAGGAAAAATAAATAATACTACAATAACATAAGCAAACACAGGCAAAAGGTAAAAACAGAATAAAATTAAACTTGGTAACGGGAAAATATTTTTACCTCAATCCTCTAAAACAATGTTACATTATACAAATATTTGCCAATCTCAGTATTTAATAAATATCCAATCACATGCACTTATTGTGCAGGACTTAAATGATACATTGTTGAAAAAAACAGAAGCAAAGCCATTCTACCATACCTGCTAATATTCTGTACTTTATGCCATGTTAGTTTTGATTCCAATTTTCTGTGTGCAAGAGCAATCACACGGAAGCCTTGTTTAGTGTAATCTTCTAAAACTTCCTCAAACTCAACTGGAACTTGGTAAAAGAAAAAGTAAATTTCATTTTAAAATTGCTCATACAAATACCAGAATTTTACCCAAAGCCTAGTTGTTTTCTTACCTGTTTCAGGTTTACAAAGGCTGGCAATGACCTCAGGGGCTCCTTTCATGTAGGCATCCATTTTCTTATCCCCTAGCACTCTTGCAACCACACTCATCCGTTGTAAAGCAGAAGAAAATGGGAACTGACGAACGATTCCTATCTCATAAATAGCCTACATAATTTCAAAAGATGTACAAAGCATTTATTGTTCTTTAAAAATGAAAACAAATGTACTACTATGTAATAAAACATTCTTTTTAACTTACTGGAAGTTCAAACAGCTCCTAAAAACAAACAAAAAAGCACAGATTAAGTCCATCAATATACTCAAGTTTAAAAAAATTTAAACATTCAAAAATTTAAACATTTCAAAAATAGGAAGGGACTTTTAATTATTTCAAAGTCAGGATTTAAAATTCCTTATATACCATCTTCCATTAGAAAGATAGGCCCTCAGGACTAGCTCTGTGGTAGAGCACTGCTATGGTTCAATCCTTAGGAAAATACTGAGTTCTTGAATATTTTCAAATATGCTAGCATACTGAATTTAATTAATCTGTGATTGTATTATGGATTGAACTCAAGAGTCATGTGCTCTAACTTGACTTTCTTGCACCTAGCTGTGTTCTTTCACTTAAGCCACATATCCAGCTGTACTTTTTGCTGGTTAGTTAGATCTGGAATCTTGAAACTTTTTCTACCCAGGTTGACTCTGAATTGAGATCCTCCAGATCACAGCCTCTTGAGTAGCTATTATTACAGGTATAAACCAATGGGGCAGCTGGCTAAACAAGAATTTAAAAAAGAAAAAAAAAAAAAAAACTCCTATGAGCTCATACTCATAATGGCAGCACTCAGGAGGCTAAAGAAGAAGAATCACAAGGACTAGCCTGGTCTATACAGTTAAGGCTCCCTTTTAATAAACAGAATTAAATAAAATGGAAATTTGACTTAAAAACTTACAAAAGTCTTATACATTCTTTTAATGAAATTCTAACAAATTTTAAAACACTGACCATTATGTATATAAATCATAAGGTACTAATCATGTGAAGTAAATAAACAAGTAATGGCATAAAGATTAAATCTCAACTTTAAAAAGAAATCTATGTAATATAATCTGAGACAGAGTTGCAGATAAATACAATTAAGATATTTAAGCCTGCACAATAGTAAAAGGTATTTGACTTCCTCTTTGAGCAATGTGTCCATATAAGAATAAAATGTAAGAAACCATCAACAGTATTTTTCCAACCCTAAGTGATACTGTACCATTTCTTGGTTTCCTACAGGTGTAGATTCAGGAAGCAGCTGTTTGGGAGGACGAACCACAGTGGGCATAATTCGATTATGAAGTGCTGTTTCTTCTTCAGTTGCTTCTTCCAGAATCTGAAAATAAAACAATCAACTCGTCACTTCAAAATTCAATTCACTGGTTTGGTTTTTTAAAAGGAACATCATGGCATTTTTCAGTGAACTGACAAAAAGCTATCTGCCATCACTAACCTAACTAATATAAATATGAGGACCATTTTCAGGAGCTAGCTAGGTAGCTAGGTGTCTGGCATGAGCCATATGCCTATAATCCTGGCTACTCAGGAGGTTTAGAACTCGAAGAAGCCAGCTTGGATAGAAAATTTTCCTACACTTCAGAAAACAATCAGTAAGAAGTATGGCTGGAAGTGTGACTCAAGTAGTAGAGATCCTTCCAACTAAGAAGATTTTGAGTTCAAATTACACTACTGCAAAGGTGACAAAAAAATAAAACAGTGGCTCATGCCTGTAATCCTAGCTACTCAGGAGACTGAGATCTCAGGATCGAGGCTCAAGGCCAGCCCAGGCAAGAAAGTCGTGAGACTCTTATCTCCAATTAACCACCAGAAAACCAAAAGTGGTGCTGTGGGTCAAGTGTTAGTGCTAGCCTTGATCTGAAGAGCTGAGGGACAGCACCCAGACAGAGTTCAAGCCCCACAACCAACCAAAAAATAAAATAAATAAATACTGTATCAATGCTTTTAAAAAGTCAAACACGAGGGCTGGGAAGGTAGCTCAGTGGGAGAGCACTTGGCTAAAGCATAAAGCCTTGGGGTGGATTCCTAGGTGCCATATATACAGAAAAGGCTGGAAGTGGTGCTGTGGCTCGACTGGTAGAGTGTTAGCCTTGAGCAAAAGAAGCTCAGAGACAGTGTACCTAGGCCGAGTTCAAGCCCCAGGACTGGCAAAAAAAATTTTTTTTAAAAAAAGGTCAAACACCAAACACTAAATCTACTGAAACAAACTAGCAAAACACCAAAAACAGCAACAAAAAAATGGATGGTTTCAAATATAAAAACAAAGAACAAATTGAAACATATTGACTAATTAATATCATAAAGGAAACTGTTTCAAAAATATTTTTTTTTGGTCTAGTTGTGGGGGCCTGAACTCTGGGACTGGGCACTGTCCCTCAGCTCTTTAGCTCAAGGCTAGCGCTCTACCACTTGAGCCACAGTGCCACTTCTGGCTTTTTTTTTTTTTTTTCTAAAAAAAAGAGATTATTAAACAGTATAGCTGTGCTAACCAACTCAAACCAAAGGCCGGGGAATCGCCAGAGATATGACTAACCAATATAAAGAGCAGCATTTCAGAACAAAAGCTTTGATTGAGCAAGTGTGGTAACAGGTGAGGAAAGTATCTATCTCTACAGCTATTCCTCTGAACCTAAAGAATGGGTATTGACAGGATCTAGTCTTGATAACACACAAAGGCCCTAGATATTTTTCCCAAATGCAGACAGAAAATAGACTATTATACAAATATGGGCAAGCACAAAATTCTCATTGCAGTTACCCAAAATTATTAAATGAGACAGTCATATCTGAATAGGTAAGTACCACCCAGATGTGGGTGGTACAAAAGTAGGAAGGAGATTAGGAGGGAAAAAATGTCTTCAGTGAAAATTGTTATGTGTACTCTAGAAGCCAGAGGGGAACTTTAAAAATTATTGTTGCAGGAGGTTGAGGATCTGAGGCTCTAGTCTGAAGTCAGCCAGAGCAAACAAATCTGAAACTCTAATCTCCAATGAAACTGAAAAAAGCAGAAGTGAAGCTCTGGCTCAAGTGGTAGAGCAACAGCCTTGAGCAAAAAAGCAAAGTGAGAGCTAAAGTTTGGAAATCAAGCCCAGTACTGGCATGAAAAAAAAAAATTATTGCTGATCTATAGAATAACTGAATGCTAGACATTAGTATTTAAAAATTAAAATAACCAGAGGAAAGAAAATAAAATAGTGTGTACTTGCATGTAATAGGAAGTAGACAGAAGAGTAAGATCACCCATCTGATTTGTACCTTATTGTTTCAAGTTGTAGATGCCTGGTTTATCTTTTTTTTTTGGGGGGGGGGGTCTGGTACTGGGGTCTGAACTCTAGGCCTGGGCACTGTCCCTAAGCTCTTCAGCTCAAGGCTAGCGCTCTACCACTTGAGCCACAGTTCCACTTCTGGCTTTTTTCTTTTTGCTTATGTGGTGCTGAGGAATCGAACCCAGAGCAGAGCCTCATGCATGCAAGGCAAGCGCTCTACCACTGAGCCACCTTCCCAGCCTGCCTGGTTTATCTTATAAATTCAGATTGGTCATACTTTACACTACATGTATTTAAAGGTTGATTCAACTAAGACCTTTACTATCTATATAATTATAAAATTTCTTCAGTGATGTAACATTAGAAATTAGGCCTTATGGTTACAAAATATTCATCAATATTAACAGTAATAATTCTAAGAGACAATTTAATTTGTACTGCACTTTCTGAGAGTTACTTATACTTTAAAATACTATACTTACCCATCCAATGGCTTCAAACATTTTCAAATCAAGTGGGTCACCAGAGAGCACTCCTTCAATTTTTGTGAGTGAATGACAAGTAGCCATACAAGCAACAAACTGAGATTTTACCAACAACTCATTACAAACATTCTCTTCTGGCAAAAGAAATCTAAATAGAAAACAAATTAGGTTTATAAGTCTTCAGTTTCAGGACAATATTCTAACACATCGGTTTCAGATTTTGAAATTTCAAAAAGATCTTTCAAGCTTGCGGGCAGGGATGTATGTGTATAATCCCAGATCATATATTTGATGTCAGCCTAGAAAATCAAGTGGGAGCCTACCTTGAAAAAACCAAAAAATCTTTTAAGCCCGAAACTGAGCTCCTTAAGGGAAAATTTCAAGTGCCAAAAACAGAAGAAAAGGAAAATAATAGAGGTCTGAGTTTGAGCTTAGACCATGGTCACTGGGGAAGATGGGAAAACCCCATCTGCATGCCACAAGGATGTAGGTCTTTCATTCTACCTTGGAGCAGACCAATGTGGAACTAGCAGTACAGAATTCCTCTTACACAAGAAGGAAGTGAGTACACTAGAAAAAGTTTACCCAAGGATCTAAAAGATTAAGAATAAGCTTGGCTCTTTTATACCCAAAGTACAAGAGAAGTAAAAACTATATAATGTTAATAACTATGTACCAAGCACCCTTGCAAGAATCTTACATACACTGACTCATTTCATCTTCACACTACAGAAAGGCATTTTATTATTCCCACTACAGGTGAGGTAACTGAAGCAGAGTGCTGAATAGCTGTTGTAGACTACACAGCCCATGAGAAACAGAGAGAGGATGAAAATGCAGGAGGCCCAATATCTATATCTAACCTCTGAACTATTATGTTCTACCTAATAGAACGGTAGTTCAAGAACATGCTACTACATGATCTAGAAATCTTCAAATTACAAAAATAATTGTTTGGGGGCTGGGAAGGTGGCTCAGTGGTAGAGCGCTTGCCTTGCATGCCAGAGGCCCTGGGTTCGATTCCTCAGCACTACATAAGCAAAAATGAAAAAAGCCGGAAGTGGTGCTGTGGCTCAAGGGGTAGAGCGCTAGGCTTGAGCTGAAGAGCTGAAGGACAGCACCCAGGCCCTGAGTTCAGGCCCCACAACCAGACCAAAAAAAAAAAAATTGTTTGGTACCACAGAAATTACTGAGGTACTAGTCAAGAAAATTAATACCTCAGGGGCTGAGAAGGTGGCTCAGTGGTAGAGTGCTTGCCTTGCATGC